TAGATAGATAGATAGATAGATAGATAGATAGATAGATAGATAGATAGATAGATAGATAGATACTTTTAAATTATAACAATGATATATGTTTTATCATTATGTTATACTTTAAAAGCTCAATTAAGGCTTATAAAGTCTCTAAACCAGGGATTACAGTGTCTCTTTAAGGAAAAAGAAATTGATGGCATTAAGACAAGAAGTCATAGCCTGAGAGACAACTCCCAAGGGGCCTGATAACAAACTCGGGCACAACTAATGCAGCTTCACAATCCTACAACACCAGCCTCGCCAGGCCAGCGGCTACAGTATCTAAGTCACACTGCACAAATGCATGCATCAAGGCTGTAACAGAATACCAAGTGTTCCCTGAAGCCATAATTACCTTAATTATGTACAACTTACAAAGCAGCAATATAAACAAAAACATATTTGTAAACTCCATATAGAGATTGTTTATGCATGAGGAGCCCTGCAGAAGAAAAATAGTGCACTACAGTTCACTTAAATAAAGCCAGTTTCTACCCCAACAGATTGGACGGCTTAGGCAGAGCAGCCTTGTGCAATCCATATGCATACAGACTTGCTATAAAACCTGGAAGTTCTGTTCTCTTAAAAACAAGCAAAAAGGGGGGGAAACCCACAGAGAAATGTGATTTAAGTACGAGTCTATCAGCCTCTGAATTTCAAAACAAAACAGCAACGAAAACAGAAAGAAAATGCCAATGTAGATATTTCTTTTTTTAACAGTCCCATAAAAAGAACTGGATGGGGTGAAATGCTCTCTGAAATACTGAAATAGGCTGAAATACTCTTTGGAAGTAGGCAAGGTAATCATAAGTGGGTAATAAGTCATATATTATATGCCTCCTTTATATCTACATAAAGACATACAGATATAAATATAAGGATTTTGAAAAAAATCCCCACTTGTGCCATAGAATTAGCTGAGCATCGGCCACCCATCTGAATACATATGAGAGTGTACGTCAGTGATGGTCAAGCTTGTAAACAACCATGAAGAAAGCAGTGCACATGGCCATGCAGAAAGCTGCTGTTTATGGGACATTCTCCAACCTGCTTCACAGCAGCCATGGCAGAACTACAAAATCAGCCCAAAACCAAGAGTGTGGGATCCTCTGGACCCTGCCTGCTGTGACTGAACTTGAACTCCAAATCCTGGACCATGCTGCGTCTGCCACAGGCTCGTGTTGTCCCGTTCCAGACACTCACTTTAATTGCTTTAAAAGCCTCTAACACAAACACAAAACCCACTGCCTTTCTCGTTCCTGCAAAACAACAAGAACTAACCAATACATGGTCCAAGGCAGCTGAACAACAAGGGACTTTTCTCTAAGACTCATCCTCCCCTCACAGAAACAAAACCTATACAAGTCAGGTTTCATAGCCATGTACAGCAGACTCAAAGGCAGTGTGTGTCCTCTAGCCATTGCATATCTTCTTTTCCAAGGGTACAGAGCCAACTTTAGTGGGCATGGCATGTATACAGCCTGCCATGTTCTACATCCATCACCAAAGCTTCTTCTCCAACATTTAAAAAGAACATACTGAATTTTACTTAGTGCAAAGTTACAGTTCAAGTTAAAATCATGGTTCTCCCAAACTTCGGTTTTAAACAAACTGTAACAGAAATTTAGCAGCAACAATAATGCTTGAGGTCAAAATATGTTAACAGGAAAATAATGTAAAGACTGTTTTATAGGTTCATTCGCGTAGTTAATACAGAAACCTTTATTCAAATGGGTTCTCTATCCCAGGGTAAATTGAGTCCAGATGAGCTGTCCATGGACATCACCCTGATACACGGCACACTGCAGCCGCTGCTGGCAGCGCGTACAGCCCCATCACCACACGAGCCGCTGGTGCAGGCCCTGCACAAGCTGCTTTGCCAAATTTCAACTAAATTACGTTCTTTAGGGGAAACTTCTCTATTTAAAGTCCCAGGAAAATTCAAATTACTAACATCACTGTACCTTCTGCAAAGCAGGAATTTCTTTATGTTTCAATTCCAGCACTGACACTTTCGTTCTGTGTCACTACCACAATTCAGCAAGGTAAAAGAAGCAATGCAACAGAAATTCCTTTGTGCTCACAAAGCGAGCCAGTCAGGTGAGACCTTCCAACAGTGGTGTCTGATCTGCCCAAGACGCTACAAACAAAACAGACTTAGTCAAAACTCTCAAGAAAGGAGCCTAAAAGTTAATAACTCTCAGATAAACCTGAAATCTATACACCTCCCTCCTGTAATATAAAATAGAACAGACAAAACAATCCTTGTTTTCAAACTAATTACATTTCCCAATCAGCACAGTAATGTCTTACTGGTAAACTCGATGGTCTTTCCTGTTGGATTAAATTCAAGTCTTCGTGGTTGGATTTTCCGGGGGCCAGAGGAGGCTGAGATCTACTTCCATAGCCTTCCTGAGACATGTCCTAAACAAACATAAACACATAGTCATCATTATCTCTGAGTGTGAAGCTTCATATAGGAAACAAAAAGACACAAAAACTGATCATGATTAAATATCAAATAATGCTACACTTTGGCCAACATTTAAACATGTGACAGCAATCATTTAATACTTTATCAAAAGCAAAAATAGTAGTTAATCAATGACATAAGTAAATATAGATAACAGGCTCACTCAATAGACGACCGCACAGATGGAGCTGACTTTGTGGCATAGAGGTGAGCTGAGCACCCAACAGAAAGCAAACCACAGCCAAGAGTTCATTGCTTTCCTTAGTCCTACAGTGGGATATACTGCTTAACTATTCCTAGGGTAGGAGGGTGGGGGATATCTCACTCCTAGCCCAGGCTGGCCTTGGATTTGTGATGATATTCCCACCTCCGCCTCCCAAGAGCTGGAATTACAGGGGTGAGCCGCCACAAAACTTGTATGCTGAACTATGATTTGGGTCAAATACTATTTCAACTAAAAAAAAATCATTAATTAAAATATTATTAACAACTGGATGTTAAAATGCCCTCCTAAACACAGAATGGTATGAGCTCCCAGAAAACCAATAAATACCCAGCTATGGAAGCCCACAAGCCCATGTGGCATAGTTTTTAGAAAACCACATTAAAGAACAAAAAAAGAAAAACGAAAAAAAAGTGAGGAACAAAACACCTGTCATGAGCTAAGAAACTCAGGATGCAGGTTAGGCGGTCTGCTAAAGTAACACACAATCACCGCCCCCCCCCCCCCGCGCAGACCCTGCAGAGCAGATGGTGGCTACTGACTACACTGCTCAGCTTTTCAGCACTGCTAGGACAGACAATTGATCCGCAGCGAGGTCAGAGGCTGAGGGCCTGTTCCATAGCCAGCTGCCCCCTTGGCTCTGGAAGTTGAAGAACCAGTTTCTGATGGGAGAGGGAAAATAAAAAGAATGGAAACTACTACCGCCAAGTAAAATTCCCTTCCCTTCTCTGTCAGTTCAAATAGGCATTAAAGAACCATATACAAATTCTATTTTATTAAATATTACATGGAAAATGTTCATTAGTAAAACTCTCTACAACTCGCCCGCTGCCCCACCCCACACTCACACAGAATACACTGGCTTCTTAAGCCAAGAAAGAGCTGGGTACTGGAAAGTCCATGAGCCACACAAACTGGATTTCACCAGTCAGCACCAGCCAAGGGTCGGTGTGAACTGCCTTTAAACTGGCTCTAAAATAAAGGTTCATGCCTGAAAACAGCATTCCACAGACTCTTACAGAAATCTCCAACACAAATAATAAGCCACACCAGACCAAGCCCTTGGTCTCTTCAGGACAGATTCCACTGCAGCTGCCTGGGTTGACTGGGGACCACACCATGGTGGTAGAGTGACACCCACAACCCAATAGCCATGCAACCCTGGAAGCCACAGTTCTGCAATCTGGTGGCCTTCACAGGGTGGCACTTGGCTTGTGGGGGCTGATCAAGAGTTGGAGGAATATTACCACCCTACCTTCCAACCCCCAAACCAAGCTTCCCGCAGATGGAGGTCTCCACTTGTCACAGAGATGCCCTGCTAGGCACCCCACAGGTCTCTGAGATTAACAAACAGGATTTCAAATCAAGTGGACACAAGGCCTCATTCAGGGGCCTTTCCTCTGCCCCAAAGATGATGCAGGGGTGCAGGATGGCCTCACAAAGGCTCACAAAGGCCTGCTTCTCCAGAGCACACCAGCAGGGCTGTCTGGGAACCCATCCTTCTTCAACCAGCTTTGATGCTGCTAGCTTCTCTTTATAGCAAACAAACTGCTTCTTAAAGAGCATGAAAAAGACAGCCAAAGTGCGTGCACAGTGCAGCTCAGACAGTGCCCCTAAAACAAGCAGCAAGAAGGCCACAGCTGAACACAATCAGAAAATGCTATAGCCTCACAATTTACTCTTGAGGCTGCAAATGTTCAAAATAATTAGATTCCACCAAAATTTTATATACTATTCCCAACCACAGAAACCTTCAATTATTAAATACAGTTGTAAATAAAACCAAAATCCAATTTCATGAGAATGGCTGGTCAGAGTTTGTTCCGCCTTAGGTGGGATTTGAGTGTAAAGACTGAACTGTAGGAGCGCAGGGAGTGGGTAGGAGTTCTAATCTGGACCAGCCCACCCCTAAGGATCATGTGCAGAGGAACCACGTGGTCTATAATGGAGAAGCTGGGTGTGGAATCCCAGCATTCTGGAAGCTGAGGCAAGGGACTGGGAGTTCAAAACCAGCCAGGGCTACACAGCGAAGGCTCCATAGATCCCATAACTCACTTGGGCTTCAAAACTGCTAGTCCTTAACACGCACTTGCTTTCACCTCAAGTAACTAAACATACTTTAATAAGCAATAAAAAGATAATGTCAATATCAGAAAAATGCATTCAGCATTACATTTTATATTTTTAAAGCACACATTCATATTTGAAAACAACCTTGCCATCTTTAGTTATTTATAAGTTTAAGCCAGCATACACATGAACACTCATTAAATTTTTCTGTCAATCATATAAAAAGTCAGCTCTTCAAAACAACGCCATATCGTGACAGTTCCCTGGTGCACAGGAACCAAGCACTGGAGTGTGGTTCACCATCTGTGAATGCACCCACATCTCACCCACGGACTTAATGACGGGCTCTGGTCTGAGCCACCTTCCTAGTATGAATCAAAAGTAACTGGAAAAACTGAAACACTGAAAAGAGCATGGTAGGGCCATGTGCACAGGCTCAGAAACTTCCTCTGAGGTGTCAGGTAGTCGCAGCCTGAGAAGGGCCACTCCCTTTGTTGGATACACTGCCACACTACAGCATGAGGCAAGGTCAGCTGCAATACAATGGGATCCCACTCACCTCAGTGTAAATGAAAAGCTACACCAAGGATCGAGTTCAAAGGCCAAGTATACAGCCACTTGTCATTTAGCACTGGGAAAGGGAGGGGAGAGCAAGGGCAGGGAGCAGAAGTGACTTCCGTGGTATAACTTCAAAAGACACAGAGATAAACAAGAACGAGGAAGTAGCATCCTTCCTAGGCTCCCCTTCCTCCACAAGGGGTACTATGCTATTTTTAAGAAATAATCCATCTTTCCTCAGTTTCCCACCGAGTCCACATCATAAATGAACATTTCCATCAGTCTTCCTTTAGACACAGGGGAAACCCTTTCTGTGCTGAGCTGGTTCCCAGCTTTTTCTCAGTGGCTCATGTCTAGTTATGCAAGTTTGACTACAGCACAGCAGTACCTGCAACCACCCTAATCTAGCCACTCGCCACTGATGTGCATCAAGCACAGCAGTACCTGCAACCACCCTAATCTAGCCACTCGCCACTGATGTGCATCAAGCACAGCAGTACCTGCAACCACCCTAATCTAGCCATTCGCCACTGATGTGCATCAAGCACAGCAGTACCTGCAAGCATCCTAACCTAGCCACTCCCCACTCATGTGCAGTCATGCTGCTTTCATTCCTCCATTACTCCACACAGCATTACAGTAAGCAACTTCGAGCATATAGATCTCCTAGTATCACTACTCTCTACCTGTCTCCTTCCATCACAAGGCTGATATGATAAAACACTGACAGACACTGGTAAAGTGCTCTAAACAAAGGAAAAGCCAATTTACACCCCAGTCCATCACTATGGAACAATCCAAACAAGATGTTTATGCTACCATCACAACATCCAACTCAATATAAAAAGCATTAAAGTTAGAGTAAAAGAGGGGAGGGTACACCCCACCACCCCACACCACCAAAAGAATTAGAATACAGACCAAAGGGGATGAGATGAGTGAGGTGCAGTGAGACAGTCGTGGCAAACCGATGTCAGTGGAACTCAACTAGAAATGGATGGGGATGCGCTCAAAGGGCAGCCAGCCTGCAGGGTCCACAGTCCAACAGAGAGCCAGGTATACAAACAAAGCAACTAAGGCGGTTGGAGTGTAGCACAGTGTACAATGCTTGCCTAGAATGCACAGGTATGTGGGTTCTATTCCCAGTGAGCACATGTGCATGTGTACACACACACACACACACACACACACACACACACACACACACACACTGAGGGAAGAGGTACCCCTGCTTTTGTAACATTCTTGGCATGGGAAGAATGTCTGAGAGGCTTCAGAAAGCCCAGTGCCACCCTGGTCAGAATCTGCCTATTTCCTGACTTTTGGAAATACCTACCTTCAGGTAAACCAATCTCCTTGCCGCAAGGCATTTCATTGGGGTGGGGGAGACACTCCACAGACCACTACAAACTGCTGGTCCTGGGAGATGATCCCTATGCAGAAGAAAGTTAAATGTGTCCCCTAGACAAAGAAATTGAAGGGAGCTTTTCCCAGGGGGCAAACAAGCTAGCATGGTCACCCCCATGCCACCTCAGAGAAACCCTACAGGAAATACCAGAGATGGAAGCTGAAAATCCTAGGACGTGGCTTTGCAACAGCCTCCATCTACAGGACAGCTCCTTTCTAGCCCTGTATGGTTTGCTTGTTTGTGTGCACTCATGAGCTGCAGTCTCGAATGATGGACACTTAGTTTGCACAGGTTACCAGAAAGCTCCAAGAACTGCTAGATAGTGAAAGATTTAATACCATTTTCACCTTTTAAGTTATAGTCTAAACTTGTTTCTTGAGAAGCTTCAAGACCACTTCCAAAATACTTATTCCTGTATCATGAGTAAACAACTGAAATCCAAATTCCTCTTCACAATTTCAATGCAAAACCACTCTCTCGGCCTTCCATTGTCATTACATAGGAAAAGGCTGAGAAAAGCCAGACACAGAGGTCCATCACTTCAAGTTGTTTCCCCTACATCTTCTGTCCAAAGTCCCCACACTTTGGACATTCCTGTTTCTCCATTAACATGCAAACATGGAAGGAAAGTTCACCCGTCTTGTCCATGGATGTCCTACCCCTTTCCTCTACCCTCAGATCTCACCTCCCAA